CAGTGTAATATTCTGGTTAAAAAAATCAGCCAAAGTTTTGGATGTCCCATCTGAGAGCCACCACAGATTCTTTTTTTCTTAACCACAGTTAATCTTACTGGAACAGGATGTGATGTCCCAGGTGAAAACACTAAGGATTACAGCAGGAAGGAACAATCCTACTTTATTTATTACCTGGAATTTGCTTTTGCTGTCCTTTACCCTAACACTGTAAAATAATTACAGCTGCTATTTATGGTACAACCCTGCTAGATGACCATCCAAATCTGCATAAAAACTTCCAGCATCACAGAATGCCCATTGACTGCAACCCTGGGTCATAGTTACATAGCTTTATCTGTATTAGTTTTTTAAAGTTTTATTTGTTTATAGTCTATGTATTTTGAAAATATTTGAAATGAGATAGAATCAAGGGCAAGATAAAATAACAAAACCATTAAAGCATGATTCAGTATGGAGATGGCAATTAGGGAATTCCAGGCAACTACAGATAAGGGAGGCTATTGTATTTGAGTCAAGGAAGTAATCCTGAGATTATTGGCAGCAATAGAAAAAGAGAAACCCAAGGGATTCCTTAAGCCTTCTGATCTAATGCAAGGGAGTAGACCAAGGGAGGCAAATATTCTCCAAACTCTGTCTATGAGGAATAATCACAAGGCTTTTTACACAATGTACATTTTAAAAGGCATAATGGACAGTGGTTCTTTGCCAGGTGTTTTACCAGAAATGTGAGTACATTTCTTATAACATCCCTTAACAGAAACTGGACTCAAAGTTGTTGTTGTTTTTTTAATACTAGATAAATAGTACTTAACTGCTTCCATAAGTTAATTTTCAGGTGTGCTGTCCCAGATGAAAGAGAGATGGAAGGAAGTGGTCTCAAAGAAGTGAATTTAGTTTTTTTTTCTACCCCCAGGAGAACAATGAATGTCATTCCTAGTCAATTCTACTGAGGAGGGAAATTCACATAGATGGGTCCTATCGCATGGCCATGCCCAATTTTCTCTGGTTCCATTGATTTTTCCTGTGCAGACCATTGCAAGGTAGAACGTGGGGGTGATTTCAGAGGTCTCAGGTTTTGACTGCAGCTCTGGATACAATAGTAGAAGTGGGGACCCTGCAGAAGCCCTGGATGGATGCTCAGATGCCAAATGCTAGGGACTGAGTGAAAGAGGTAAAAAGATTTGCAATACTGTCTCTTTAGGATCTCCTGCCCCCATTTTTTTGCTGTTGTCTTTTGCACAGAAGATTGATATTCTTTGTTAAATGGAAGCCAGCATTGTAAATATTTTCTGCAGGTTTACAAATGATTTTTAAATTGATTCAAGTATGAATCTTTCTGGAGATACATGCAAAGCTCAGAAGTAGACTTACTTGTATATTATGACATAAATGATCTCAAGGTTTTGTTTTTATTTTTTTAAATAACTTCATAACCAGGATGCTAAGTCAGTAATATTCAATGAGACACTCGATTCTCAAGAAAATATTTTGGGACAGGGGTATTCATTTTATAATCAGAGGCTGGCTACCTGACTTTGGAGTTAGAAAATAGGGGGGTGGATCAGCTTAATGCATTGTGTCATTGATTCAGTTAATTTTATTCTCCATTAACTAAGTGGCATAACATTTAAAATCGAGATCCTTCACGATGCCTAAAATACAGGCATTTTGTTCCATCAATTCAAAAGGGATCCATACCCTGTAGAAACCAGTTAAGAAATAATTGAATATAAGAGGTCACCCTACCCCCAACTGTGAGTTCTTCCACCTACATACAGAACTGAGACTAAGCAAGGCCAAGCCTTTTCTCAAAAGCATAGCTATGGATTTGCTCAAGAGCCTAGACACAAAGTCAATTGAGACCCCAAAGTTTTATTTCATAAAACATAGAACAAACTGTTGAATGGCAGCAGATCTTAAGCGCTATCATCAGCAGGAGAGATGAAACCAGACAGCTGTTCTGAGCTGGAGAGAAACCCTCCCTGAGTCAGACTGACATGAGGACAGAATCAGAAGGGGAGGCAGAGCAGACAGGGATATAGGGCAAAGACATCAGCCTTCATTTATTCATTCACTTGCTTACTCAGTCATGAATCAAACACAAAATGAATATTTTCCACCTAGGGTGGATTCTTCTAGACACTGACATGAACTCCTCTAGGTACTGGAGATAGTGGGACACAAATACATGACATTAAGGTCTGGGTCAAACATAAATGGGCTTGGAAAGGTCGACTGGGCCAAAATTATGGAGAAATTCAAATGGAAGCCTTGATTAGGAGGGTTTAGTCTTGATTCTGCAGACAACAGAAGGGAAGGGGTATCCAAATTTATGAAATTTTTTTTTTTTCAACGTTTATTTATTTTTGGGACAGAGAGAGATAGAGCATGAACGGGGGAGGGGCAGAGAGAGAGGGAGACACAGAATCGGAAACAGGCTCCAGGCTCTGAGCCATCAGCCCAGAGCCCGACGCGGGGCTCGAACTCACAGACCGCGAGATCGTTACCTGGCTGAAGTCGGACGCTTAACCGACTGCGCCACCCAGGCGCCCCAGGGGTATCCAAATTTAAATAAGGGAATGACATACATGGAACTATGCCAAGCTCTATTTGGAAAAGAGAACAGAGCTATGGTGTGAACTTGGAGGTGAGAGGGGCTATTGTACTTGTTCATGTCAAAGTCATTACAGCTGGAACTATAGGTAAGGATGAAATTACTAAAGGAGAAGAGGTAGAATGGGAAAAAGAACCTTAGGAAACACTTATATTTTGGGACAGCAGGAGCCAAAGGAGCCAAAGGAGAGCTTGGGGAAAGATCAGGGATGGAAGCCAAAAGCCAAGGAAATTTCCAGAATTAGAAGCTGATTAGTTATGGTGCTTTTGTATAACCAAGGAATACAAGGATTGAGAAATGGCTATTTGAATTAGGTGCTGAAAGAGCCTTGGAGACATTTAAAAGAGCAGATGAAGGAATAAGTGGAAACTTCGAATTGAAAGCAGGAAGTATATTCTACTTCTTCAAGAATTAGATCATGAAACGAAGGAGAGAAGTCTGAAAGAACATTAATTTTGTCATTAGAAGTTTTTGGTTGCAAGTAACAGAAAAAACAGCCCCAGGTCTATGTAACTCATGGAATCTATGGGAGTAGTTCAGGCTTCAGGCATGGATAGATTCAGGGTTCAATCAGTGCCATTGGTATTTCCTGCTTTGACTCTGCTTTTCATTGTATGGTGGCTTCATTTTCAGGTTCTCTCTGTAGAACCTTCAGCTTCATACAGCTAGCTGTAGTACCTTCAGCTTCATATCTTCCCAAGTTCAAACAAATCCAATGAAATCGAAAGAGAAGGCTTTTACCTAGCTGCTTAAGCCGCATCCTAGGATTAGCTCTGGTTGGGTTTAGATTGGCTTGACTGGAGTCAAGGGCCCATTCCTGATGGGGACGAAGTTCACTCACAGGTCTAGCCATGGAGATGGAGCCCTAAGGAAGCACATGGACCAAGGATGGGCAAGGGAATGGTTCCCTGGAAGAAAATCAAAGAACTGCTGATAGAGACTGAAGAATGGCTGACGGTGGCAAAAGGGACTGTCCCAACACGAGGTTTGAAAAGAGAAAACTGACGGATAGAGGCCTGGGGCACAAGGGAGGGAATGTGATCAAGGTACAGTGGATGAAATCCATTTCAAAAGGAGGATGCTTTCTCATTTCCGAGATGGAAGAGGAGAGGATAACAAAAAATGACACAAAAACAATTTGATGTGCGGTGGTGGGGAGGGGAGCTGAGGTGCATGCGCTCAGTAGCTTCATTTTGAAGTAAACACTCAAGAGGAGTGGTAGGTAGTGTTAATTCTTTTTGAAAAATTATTTAAATCTATCGCGCCAGTTCTATTATGGTAAATACGCAACAAATAGAAGCTGAGAATCAAATCCTACACTTAGCGTATCAACTACTTTCATTCTTCATATAGTAGCCACAATCTTCACAAGGTTTAAGCATGAATGTTTTTGCTTTACATATGTTCTTCCTAACGCTTTAAATTGCATACTATTTCAAGTAGATGTATCACAAATCAAATCACTGAGCAGTTCCACGAGAAAAGACATGTAGTTTACTTTCGTATTTTATTAGAAGTAATGCTACCATTACTATGTACTTAGCTGCTTATTTCTCCTGCTGGTATTTCTGTAGCAAAAGTTCCCCCAAATGGGATGATTATGTGAACGGGAATATACAGTTTGTTCCTCTTAAGCGTGTTGCGAAGTCACCTTTCATAAGGTATGTACACTTGTCAGTGTTCCCAGCCATACGTGGGATTACTAGTTTAATCACACACGAAGCATTTTAGACATTTTACTTCACTAACATCTTTGTGATAACAACTACCCTAACGTGCCGAGCACTGACGCACATCAGGATGGGTCTACGAACTTGAGTCACGTCAATTCATTTCTTTTCACAACACCCCGTGAGAGGAAAAACTTAGGATCTTTGTTTTTACAGATAAGGAACCTAAGATCCAAAGAGGTTCTTAAGGAAAACGCTAGGTAGTGATAGAATGGATATCTGAACCACAGAAACCTGCAACAAGAGCCTGCACGCTCAACCACGAGCTACACGGACTCGGGATTCTTTTTGATTAACATTTTCCCAAGTGTTGCTAACAATCCGTATACATTTGTGTGAGCATTTCATCGTGTCCTTTTCTGTAAGATTCTTTTTTGATGGGTCTGCCCCATCAAAAGGGATATTACAGGGATAGTAGTGGATATTTCTTACGGATTTGGAAACCTCAGATGGTCTGAATGGGGAGATTTTTTTTTATCATTCATGCATTTTTTTGTACGCCTTGCCAATATGAAAAGTTCAGAAACGAAGCATCACGTTGCTAAATATTAAAAATAAATGCAGTTGTTTCATCCGCCCAGGATACCCCGGGCCTTTTAAAAAGATTCTGATGATTCTATAATTCAACTCTGCCAGTTACCATGGAAACATACCTTCTGGGTTTGCTTGAACATCTGAAATGTGGGTACTGATCTGATGTGATAAGTTTGGGCCAACTCCTGGGAAAGGAAAGAAATGGCATGAGGTCACAATTTTGGTATCCTCTCTCTATACAGAGCCCAGAACTTGGTGACTTCTCAGGAGGCATGTCTGAAAACCCAGGGACAGTTAACACTTTATTGATTCTCCTGCCAAGCCTTTTTCTAACATGTCTTCAAAGCCTCCAGGAATGTTACAATAGAAAATGGCTGCTCCTCACATTCCTGAGGCTTCTCATCCCAGAGCCCTAGGAGAGGGCTGGGAGATGGATGCCAAAATAGAACAGATGCTGAAGGATGAAACGAGCTCTATTTAAAAGAAATTGTGAGGGGTGCCCGGGTGGCTCAGTCGGTTAAGTGTCCGACTTTGGCTCAAGTCATGATCTCAGGGTTTGTGGGTTCAAGTCCCATGTCCGGCTCTGTGCTGACAGCTCAGAGCCTGGAGCCTGCTTTGGTTTATGTGTTTCCCCTCTCCTTCTGCCCCTTCCCCCCCTCGTGCTCTGTCTCTCATTCTCTCTCTCAAAAATAGGTAAACATTAAAAAAAATTAAAAAAAAAATAAAAGAAGTTGTGAAAGATTACAGAGGAACCTCAGTGGAACCCAATATGGAGACAGCATATTGCAAAAATAAGGAACAGTAAAGGTATCCTTATCATGCACACTTGAGACATGGGGTGATATGCTGGTCTTACATTGTAAGTAAGGTTTACAGGTCTCTTTCTTGTAAGCCCTACTCCCCACTTCACTGCCCATCTTTGTGAAAGATGAACCAAAAAAAAGCAAATATATCAGAATTCCAATTATTTTAATCCATTACAATCTGCTCTTAAATACCCGTTTTTATCTTGTTTAGAGTCCAGAGAAAATTAGCCACCCACAGCATCAACAGAATTGGACTTTTCGCTCTAATATACCTATCATTTTATGGGGTGAATCTCTCCCCTGCTGCCTGTAACACACACACACACACACACACACACACACACACACACAGACACACACACACACACACACACACAAAATTATAATTTTCATGATCACAGCAATGATAATAAATAAATTAGTTAAAAAAATTGTGTATTTTGTTTCTCCTTAAAAGGGAAAGAGTTATCATCAAAAAGGCAGACAATAACATGTTTTTGTGAGGATGTGGGGAAATCAGAGGCCTCATGACACATTGCTGGTGGAAATGTATGGTGCAACTGCTTTAGGAAACTCAACAATTTCACCCCTAGATACATAACAAGAGAAATGAAAATACATACATAAATGCTTATACCAGTATTACTCCTAAAAGTCAAAAGGTGGAAACAACCCAAATGTCCATCAACAGTTGAATGGCTAAATAAATAAAATGTGGTATATCCATACAATGGAATATTATTCAGCAATGAGAAGGAATGAAGTATTGATACATGGAGGAACCTTGGAAACTTATGCTAAATGAAAGAAGTTAGTCACAAATGCCCACCTATCTGATGATTCAATTTGCATGAAATGCTCAGAATAAGCAACTCTATAGACAGAATGTAGAATTACGATTGCCCAGAGTTGGGACAGAAGGAACTGGGGGTAACCAGGAGAACTCCAAAAGTGCTTGCTTTTTTTTTTTGAAGTGGTGAAAATGTTCTAAAATTAATTGTAGTGATGGTTGCACAACTCTGTTAATATAAAAAAAGGACAAAGAGATAATGATCCTAGATGTGTTCTGAATGCATAGTATATGATTCGGTTTAAAGGGCACTTAAACACTGTCGCACTTTGATAAAGCTTGAAAGAAATGGGCGAAATGGAACTTCTAGTATGTTCTGGATGCTATGTCATATATTTTATGTATTTTATCTCATTTTATATTCTGTGAAGTGTTATTTGCCCTGTTTTACAGTGAAAAAAACCTGAAATTTATAGAGTTAACTGATAAGAGGTCACAAAACTATTAAAGAAAAGAGTGGGTAAATAACAGATTTTTTGTTATTCTAAAGCTCAAATTCAATCCAATATGTGCAAAGATCACTTGTTACTGTTTTTTCCTAGTTGTAAATGAGCAAATGTTAGGAAGAATAATTTTTGGGGTACCTTGTATATATTAATGAGGCACATTTTAAAAAATATATTTTTTAAATGAGAGAGAGAATGAGTGGGGGAGGGGCCGACAGAGAGGGAGAGAGAATCCCAAGCAGGCCCCATGCTTGGCATGGAGCCCAACCTGGGGTTTAATCCCACGTCTGTGAGATCATGACCTGAGCCAACATTAAGAGCTGGATGCTTCACTGACTGAGCCACCCAGACACCCCATTAATGAAGCACATTTTGACTAAGGGCATGAGGTTGATTATTTTGGGGGAAGGAGAGGAAAGGAGGCTCTAGGGAGGGACAGGAGGGAAGGATTTCTTGGAATTCCTTGTGATGTTTTAAAAAACCCACAAAAACCATAACCATAGCAAGAGGAAAGCAAGATATAAATGCATTGAGCTGGGTTTCAGACATTGATTAATAATCTACTACAAGGGTGAAAAACACTTTTCACCTTGAGCCCAACACCACCCAACTGGTATTGTCTGTGTAGAGCCAATTCTGCTGAGCAGGGTAAATGGAGAAAAATGTTGGGATTGAGGAGTGGAGTCTGCCATAGTAAGGGAGGGGAGGGGGCAGCAGGAGAGTCACATACTTGCTGGGTTTTGTTTTTAAAATTGATACAAAACACAAGAACATTACAAGGAAGTTTACTACCATTTATCACGAAAACATCATGAAATTGTCCTCAACTTAAAATTGATTATATAATCACTGAGGTGCTGTCAACGATGCAGCATTTGGATTTTATGTATCCCCACAGAAGGACTTAAGATTCTTACCTTAGAATCATCCACATCCACATTAGCAAACATTACATTTTGGTATTGCAGAGACATTGCCTTCAAATTAAAAGAATAAAAATTCCCTATTAGCTTAGCGTTAATACTAAATTACATACTAGAATTACACAGTTGTCTTTTGGCAAAAAACAAACAATGAGCAAAAAGGTTGTTCATGAGAGCTAAGCATCACTCTGGCATTTCACTTCAGGCTAGAACTGGAAGCACCAAAGTCAAATATGGGATGATACAGGTCAAGCAAAGATCAGCGGCAGAACCAAAGTCTGAAGAACCAAACTGAAGATCAGAGTTTCAAAGTTAGGAAAGGGCACAAAGTGAAGAAATGATGACATGTATGTGGTGTGTCCAGATTTACCCTGCAGGGTGAAGGGACGGATAGTAGCTTTCTCCTGGGGTGGCAAGAGGTGGAAGGCTGCTTTCAGTGGTCTTCAAAATACAGGTCCCTGAGGGGCGCCTTGGTGGCTCAGTCAGTTAAGCATCTGACTCTTGATTTCAGCTCAGGGCATGAGCTCCCAGTTGGTGGATTGGAGCCCCACATCAGGCTCTATGGTGACAGTGCAGAGCCTGCTTGGAATTCTCTCTCTCTCTCTCTCTCTCTCTGCCCCTCCCCTACTCATGCTCTTTCTCTCTCTCAAAAAAAGAAATTAAAAATTACAAAAAAAAAAAAAATTACAGATCCCTGAACCAGATACCCAAACTCTGCTTTGACCTTCACCTCTTGCCAGGCTTTTTGGGAGGCTCTTATGACTGAGATGATACAAAAATATGTGTGTCGACCCTGGGCCTAATTGCTTTGTGCTTTTATTGACATCTTCCATGCTCTACTATGTACTGAAACTGTACTTCCCAGGATCCTTTGCCAGCTGTCTTCTTAGGTTTTGCCAATGGGATGCATCTGGAGGAAAACAGAAGGTGTGAAGAGGGAGGAAACAACTCTCTTCTGCTTCTGTTTTGTTCTGAAAGCATCTCTGGCAGCAGTGGTGACAAAGGTGTTGGTAATGGGTCTGCGGGTAGTAGATGCAGCAGCATCAGCCTGTAAATATCAGCTCTTGGGTTTTTTTTTTCTTTCAGACAACCGTGTTCATACTTTACGGGCACTTAATAGCATCTTGGTTTGTTTGCTTTAACATCGTATCTCAAGCATTTCCAGTGACCTATTTCTAACGGGACCTCTCTCTGACGGGACCTCTCTCTGATCGTATGGGGTGTCCAGAGACAGTGGAGACAGGAAGAAATGCAGCTGTCACTGGGAGCTGCTCCCACTGAGAAGCAGGAAGCAGCATGACATGGATTAGGTGGATATGTGCTGAGGTCTACTGCAGGCAGATTCTCTCCAGTTGTTTGTTCATGGATTGTGACTGAAGTGGGAGCTCTTTCTTCAGTGGCCCATCAAGATTGTGAAAACGGAGAAAAACTCTTAGATAACAGACACAAAAGCCTTGGGGGTTTCAGAGTATTTTTTTAGATAAAAAAGCTGATTTTGGTCAGCAGTGGCTCAATGCCTGGCAGGAAAATGGTGTCACCCACAAACTCTAGGGCAATTGTCTTGCACTTTTCGAGTTTGAAGATATATGGAATGCTCCCCAACAGGGGTAATGGGAATAGGTTTGAACTATGTGGACATCTAATTCTACTTATGAAGGTTTCAGAGCCTTGCAAGTCTATCAGGAAATAGGGAATATGGCAGCTGGCATTTTGCATCAAGTAGCACCCAGAAGTCATGGCATACATATGGGTCTTTGCTAGGTCGGGGTTCCCCTATGGACATTGTCTTTCCTTATTATCTCACTCCATCCACCTAGGACCTCTTCTCTGCCCTCAACAACTCTTCCTTCTGCTCTGTTCTTCCTCGTATGTAGTCTTCTACCATTTGGTCACCTGTTCTGTTGGTTTCAACTCTAAAGTATCTCCTAAATTGGATCTTTTCTTCTTTCTCCAAAACCACTGCCTGTCATTGAGATTGTCATCACTTTGGGTTACCCGCCTTCGGTCTTTCTAAACCATTCTTATACAGCACTGCTAAAAATATTCTCTAAAATCGCTATTTGACCATGGCAAAACCCTTTTCAGAACTTCTGTTTTGACTATCTACAACAACTCATTAAGTTATAACACAAGATCTTTCTTGATTTGGCCTCAACTTTCTTTTCAAAGCTCCTTTGTCTCCGCTTCTGCTACATACACTGTAAGTTAGCCTCACAGACCACTTGCCTTCTCATGATCACATCATGTAATTTCTAAAGAAATTTATAATCTCTCCTTTCCCAGAAATGCTCTTATCAGGGTTCTAGGTCTGGTGATCCTCTTAGCCCAGGGTCAGCAAACTGCACCATGTAGAAGAAATCCAGGTCTCCACATGGCCTTGTAAAGTAAATTTTATTGGAATACAGTTTGCCTGTTCATTTGTGCATTGCCATTGGATGCTTCTGCACTACAACAGCAAAGCTGAGTGGTTATTACAGAGACCATATGGCCTGCAAACCTGAAACGATTGACTGTCTTTCCTTTACAGAAGTTTAGCTGGCTAACTTCCATTCCACCTTCCCGCAGAGCCTGGAAAGGAAAAGAGGTAGAGATTCCTCGGACTCCCTTGAAGCTGGAGTTCTGGATGCCAATTGGTCTTATCAACAAGATAAATGTAGGAGAGACTTGGAAGTCAGAAGTGGGAAAGCAGCTACTTTCTTCTTGTTTTGTCTTCTTGTCTTTGGAAAGCAAGACTGTGGGTATTGGGAGTGGTTGTGCTGGAAGCAGCAGCAGAAGCCAAACTCAGGATCTGGTGCCCGGACATCAGCTTTCTGGACGTCCAGAGGCACCTGTGGCCACAGTAGCCTCCTGATCCTGGTTCTGATTCCCAACTGCTGCTCTGTTGCCAGTTTGTTTTTTCCTCCAGCGGTGGCCTCCCATCTATACTCACTTCTGATTGTGGCGAACTTAGGATCCCCAAAAGTGGGTCTATGGTGTTCTGAGTCATTCCTATTCATCTAATCTTTCAATAATTTTATAAGCAATTTATTCCTTGTATTAACATTCTTTTCTGTTTAGGGACTCCTGGGTGGCTCAGTCGGTTAAGTGTCTGACTCTTGATCTTGGCTCAGGTCATGATCTCATGGTTCACGGGTTTGATCCCCATGTTGGGCTCTGTGCTGACAGCACAGAGCCTGCTTGGGATTCTCTCTCTGCCCTCTCACCGCCGCCCCCACGCTCTCGCTCTCAAAAATAAATAAACATCAAAAAAAATTCTTTTCTGTTTAATTTGGTTTCTGTTGCCTGCTTTGATCTTTGACTAATAAAGTGACCTAGAAGAAGGGAAGTCTTTTCTCCATGCCTATACGCACCAGTTTGAAAAAATTACACACAGGGGCGCCTGGGTGGCGCAGTCGGTTAAGCGTCCGACTTCAGCCAGGTCACGATCTCGTGCTCTGTGAGTTCGAGCCCCGCGTCGGGCTCTGGGCTGACGGCTCGGAGCCTGGAGCCTGTTTCCGGTTCTGTGTCTCCCTCTCTCTCTGCCCCTCCCCCGTTCATGCTCTGTCTCTCTCTATCCCAAAAATAAATAAACGTTGAAAAAAAAAATTACACACATGGTAAATGACTACGTTATTATGCAAAAGTTCAAACATCACAAGAAAAATAAAGCCATCCAAATTTAACACCCTTTCACTGAAAAAAAAAACCTTCTTTGATATGCATCCTTCTGTTCCCCTTTTCTCTACATATATGTGGGTTTATATATATATACACATACATATATGTGTCTATTTTACATACATGAGACCATACTATATAAATTTTTCTACACTGCACTCTTTTTACTTAATGCTATGTTGTCTTGGAGATGATGCCACCATTCCATATGGGTCTACTTGATTCTTTTTAACATCTGGATAGTATTTCAGTATGGACATGCCAAAATTTATTTTAAAACTATATTTGCATTAGTCTGGATTCCAACAGGAAACAGATGGCACATCATTTGGGGAGGTTTATCTCCAAAGGGATAGCTATAACTATGAAGGTAGGAGTGAGTATAGGAAGAGCTGCAGGAGCCTGGACAGAGCAGTGGCACAGCTGTTAATGCCCTTATGGCAAAGGTATGAGAGGGAAGTTACAAAGCCTTAGATTTCATTGCACTTTCCGAAAATGCCCCATGTTGGCTGTCGGAATTTGATCAGCTTTGACTTTGTGGCATGTGAGTATATTTATACTCTGGAAGCTGAACATTGAAGACTTTCTTTAAGTTTTGAGTATCAGGATAAAGGGGACTGTGAAATGATAAAATGCTTCTTCTGGATATTCCAAGAATTTTAGGTAGAAAATGGATGTTGAGGTATCATGTAATCAATTTCCCTATTTGAATATAGGTTTATTTTATTTTATTTTATTTTTTAAAGTTTATTTATTCATTTATTTATTTTTGAGAGAGAGAGACAGAGAGAGTGAGTGGGGAAGGGGCAGAGAGAGAAAATGTCAAGCAGACTCTGCACGTCAGTGCAGAGCCCAATGTGGGGCTTGAACTCATGAACCATGAGATCATGCGTTGAGCCAAAACCAAGAGTCGATGCTTAACTGACTGAGCCACCCAGGTGCCCCTGAATATAGGTTTATTTTTAATTAAATGTCAAAAGACTGTGATTAGAATGAATTCAGGTGGATTTAAGAGTTCAAGTTGAAATGGTAGAAACTTTGCTGAAAATAAACCAGAGTGTTTTTAGTTGTGTAGAGAAATCAAAACTTCTTTAAATTTGAAGAAATAGTTTTCACAAAACTGACCATAAGTGAAACTTCTGCATGATGAGGAGAAATGAAAATGCCAAGTTCTTTCTGTGGCATGTGATACCAAAAGTAAATAAAAGTTAAAACTTTTAAATGGGGCAACAAGGAAATTAACTAGATGAAACATTGTATAGACATTAAAATGTTAATTTACAGACCCTACAAAAAACATGAATGAATGTGTACATGGAAAATAGACCTGAATATAAATATATGATTACAACTAAGAATATTTTACTAAAACATTTTATAAAGTAGATCAGACATGAAGGGAACATATAAGACATAAGTTTTGATAATAGGGTTGAAGGATGGGGGGAGTTTATCCTTTCGTATTATAGTTAAAAATAAGTATCATGTTTTTCTATAATCTATTCCAATATTTGGAAGTTATGAACTCTGGAACTTTGGTAAAATGCCATTATTACGAATAATCCATTCATTTGTACAACTGTACTCTTTTGTACATCTAGATTTTCCTTGCAGAATTATCCATAGACAAGTAGTATTAATCTTCTGGTGTGTGTACTATGATCTAAATAGAGATTGGTATATTAGCTTCAGGATAATCAGGACGCTTTGAAAAGTGATTCCATATGGCTCATAAATGTAAACTTTTAAGATTTACTGAAAAAATTATTAGGGGATTTAAAATTCCTTCTAAAATTGTGAAATATATATAGATGATACTTACATGAACAAGAGGATAAATCCTTTTGCAAGGACCACACCATTTTGCTGAAAATTCAACCACCACAAGTTTGCACCCAGCAGCTTTCAAAAATCTGCTAAATTCATCCTGAGACCAGAACATAAAAGAAAAAATATGCATAATCACTAAATCTCAAAAAGCCTTGCAGAGAATAAATGTTCCTCATTTATTGAAATGAAGAACTTCAGTTCCTGAAAACCTTAGCGAGGTACCCCACCCTATCGTTCTCAAGGGGACACACCTTTCCTAAATGTCCCTGAGGTCACATATATTGATCTTTGCAAGTATACATAGGTGGGAGTAAATCTGCAAAAAGTGATTAGGAGTGTATTTACCAAATGGTGGTTGGTAATGGTTGGTTACCTCTGGGGAGAAAGTGATATTGGCCAATGAGAGATAAAGCATGGAGGGTAGTGGTGGATGGTTGTTCAAGCTGGACATCTAGATTTGATTTTTTTTAAATAAGGGCCTAAACATACATTAGTGGTAAAATTTAAAAGGAGAGGAAGTAATCTAACAGCTTGAATCATTTCTTGTTTTGCTTTTGTTTTGAAGGGAATTCATTACCAAAGCTGTAGTCAAAAACCGTATATTTAAGGATTTGACATGCTTCTTGTTGAATGTCTTAAGCGAATTTCCCATCAGCTGTCCAGATCACCTAAGTAAATGTTTCCTTTCCTGGAACCTCAGATCATTTTATCTGAACTTCCTTGCTTTATGAACACTGACTGTCCACACGTTATTTCGTGCATGGCTTCTCTCCCCCAACAAATCCTTACAGAATTCAATCCTGATTCACTCCTGAACCTCCATGGCCTCTGACTGGGCACATTACAGTATGTGCTCATGGGGTGTTTAGTTGATGAATGATTTGCTAATATATAGTATTCTGCTCAAGATTTATTTTTCCTTTTCTCATTGGAATTACGATGATAGTAACTAATTTACTCTGTGCCTGGTGTTCTCTCCCTTAATCTTTACAACCACCCTATTGAGTGGGTATTATCTCCATTTTACAGATGAAAAAACGAAAGTTTATTACTTTCTCTCAGTCAACCTGTTGGCAAATGGTGTAGTTGGGATTGCTAACCTAGGCAGCCTAACTCCGGAGTCCATTTCCCTCACCACTCCACAAACCTACACAAAATCATCTCCTGAGTTCTTTCTAGTTGTGGGGCTCCCTTGCCCTCTCACTGGCCCTAATTCCATCATGTGCTCATCCCCTCGACCAATCATTAAGATGGGATCACTAATTAGATCAAGTCAAGCAGTGCCTATCACTGGAATTAGGGATGGGGTTAATTGCATACAGATGGCACACCGCTCTGCAGTAAGAGAATCTTAACAATTATGTTGCCATTTGATTTAGTTTCAAGCAGGTGAAACGGATGACTTAAGGAAGATACACTTTCTTCCTTTACCCATATTCCTCTAGGGGAGGGGGTACTTAACTCCTCAGAGAGCCATGCCAAGCCGCAATTTCTCACTTGCTTCTGAAATCATGCAGTAGATGCCATCCTCACAAGCCCTCAACACCCTCACGTCTGAGTAGTTGCTAGGATGTAAACTGGGCCTCGCCAGATCTATGAATTTGACTTGGCTAAGTTCTCTGAAAGGAATACCCCCATAGGGTACATATCGACTTGACATGTACCTATCGAGACCCATGCTGTGCCAAGTAATGGACACACTGCTAGTATACAGCTGTGGACAAAAAACCAGACAAACTTTTCCCTGCCTTCGTGGAGCTTACATTTAGAGGGGGAAGCCGATGGTAAAATCAAGAAGTAAAATATGTAGTGTGTTAGTGATCGTTGCTGATAAAAGAGGAGAAAGATAAAGCAGGAAAGAAGGAAATGAGCTGGATTAGAGTTGTAGTTTGGGTGGCCATGGTCTGCCTGGAATAGAAGGTGACATTTAAATACAGACATGAAGGAGACAACAGGCCCTCAGGAGAGGTCTCCAAGGAGGAGATGGGAGAGGGCTTCTCAGGGGGCTAGTGAGACCCTGGGTTATTCTGTGAGATTCCCAGAAAATCAAAAAAAGAAGTACCAAAGGCATCGGCCAATGTGTGCTATTTTACAACATTTTCTCACAGCAAACTACACAGCGATGCCTTCTTTCAATCTGGCCAGCCTCATTTTCGTGACCTTACATATAGCTGCATTTGGGGAAAATGTCAAAAGTCTAAGTCTGAGGGTGTTGACGGATGGCAAGCCCAGGCCCTATGCCTTCCCTCTTCCCTCCAGGTTCAGGTCCTCGTGTAACAGGGCCTGACATCAGAATGTCTGGGTTCTAATGCCCACTTCACTCCTAAACGGAGTAGGACCATCACCACTCTTAAAGGCAATTTTCTTTTTTGTAAATAAACAACTCCCCCTGGCCTATATGTGCATTTAGGTTCTTGTGGCAGTGACATTGGACAATGGATAGAAAGTGATCTTATAAAACACCACCTAAAGGATTGCTGATGCTATTGGCTGTCATTTTCCTATCCTAATCCCTAGGCATGTCTGAGGTTTCTGCTCTGTCTTAGAATAAGAGAAATATGTGGACTTTTACTTTCATAGAATGTTCCAGGTACAACAAAGGTGGAATCAGCGGGATCAGGTACAGGATGGGATGTGTTAGGAGTTGGTCTGGATCCAGCTAGAGTCAGAGCAGGAAGTGAGAATCAGAGAGGAACAAAACCCTTCTGATCAATTTATCCCTTGGCTACACTCCAGATAGTGCCATCCCTCGAGCACAGAAAGGAGAGACATAAAAAAATCTCCCCTTGCTACGGAGCAGTGAAAGAATACGATTAGGGGAAATCATTCTTAAAGTTTATCAAGTCTGTTCTCAAGGTGGTTTCTTTTGAAATATCAATGAAGCCAAAATAAATACTTGCCATGTCTTTAATAATCTGAACCATGATTTACTGGGAATTGCTTACGAAACCTTCCTTTTGGTTCAGCAGGCTCACCGCAGCAGTCTCTTATTAATTAAAGGATCCTAGCTGGAATAGAAGGGTAACTTCTCTATGACATCATTAAACGTGACTGTCTCAGAACCTAGAACTTTGGCAGACTTGAAGCTAATTTGACTTTTTTTTTTTTTTTTCCGTTTATTTATTTTTGGGACAGAGAGAGACAGAGCATGAACGGGGGAGGGGCAGAGAGAGAGGGAGACACAGAATCGGAAGCAGGCTCCAGGCTCCGAGCCATCAGCCCAGAGCCTGACGCGGGGCTCGAACTCCCGGACCGCGAGATGGTGACCTGGCTGAAGTCGGACGCTTAACCGACTGTGCCACCCAGGCGCCCCGCTAATTTGACTTTTAGGTCAACATATGGTCAGCCAAGAACCAGCCAACTGGTTGTATGCAGACTCAATAATGCGTCTACTTTTGATCTTCTACAATCTATTTCCATGACCCCTCTCTTCCTTCTCCATTCCTTGCAACCACCAAATGAGAAATAAGCAAGCTAATATTAAGTAAATGAAGGTTATTTCATTTAGGATTTTGAAGGGATTATCTTGCAGTAGAAAAAAAATACTAAAGCCTTCATCCTATAAGTTTTCTACATATTAGGTTTTATGAGTCATGGATTCCTTAAACTTTGTTATTTTGCTCTAATTTTAGGAGGTAATGAAATTTCACTTTTATGGACTGGATCACAGGTTGGCAAACTTTTTTCTGTGAAGAACCAGATAATTTGGGCCTTATGGACCACATGCATGTGGTCTTTGTTGCATACTCTTTGTTTTTATTATTATTATTATTATTATTATTATTATTATTATTTTAAGTAGGCTCCATGCCCAATGTGGATCTCAACATGGGGCTTGAACTCATGACTCTCAGATCAAGACTTGAGCTGAGATCAAGTGTTGGACACTTAACTGACTGAACCACACAGGTACCCCTATAATCTTTTAAAAATGTAAAAACCATTCTTAGCTGGTGGACCTTATAAAAACAGTATTTTGCTAAACCCACACATGGTGACTTGTTAATTTTTCAGAATTTAACGTCAGAGAAAAACCCCAAAATGGCCATGACCAATGTTCCCCAAATCTTCTGTAGAGGAATAGCAACAAAAATGAAAGAAGTTGCAGAATTCTATAATAACACAAAATCAGCAAAATGCTCCTTTCTGGTTTTTCCAGACATCCAGTCATGTCTCTCAGGAATGAGTTGCCTGTCTTTCCTTTTCCTTTTTGATGAAGTACAAATTATGAATATTTCCTGTATAGCCATCGTAGCAGATAGCTGACAGTCACCTCCCAGTATGCATTTCCTTTACTTTCCACCAAAAATACACTGATTTTCCTTTGGGCAAATTTATCCCTCCTCCATTTTATAGCAGCTATGCAGTTTGTGTGGGATTAATCTAACCCTAAATCCAGGGGTAGACCCTAATTATCTTAATCCAGCCAACAATCCTATCTTTAGGTCAAGGGTTAATGAAGAGAGAACAAGAAAGCAAGTGAATGGCATTTCTAGCACTTGTGATACAGTTACTGAAACTTTCTCTTTCCTCATTTAGATATAAACAAGATGCTGACTGACAGCTCTTATAAAACACACAGGAACCCAATCTTTGTTTAAGGCCTAGATTCCACAAAGATGTGAGGAGACATAAAAGAAACCTGGGTGATACATTGATCCACTGGATTAAGCGTGGCCGGAAGCTCAAGCTAAGTCTGGAATTTACATTTCCATAGACAATAAATCCCTTTATAGTTTAAATTGGATTCATTGGGGTTTCTGACACTTACCTGGAAAATATTCAAATGCAATATGATAGAAATTTCTCCACTTGGGTCAAACTGCAAGAATGACTCACATTGTCATTGGTGTTTTAAAATTTCTCATGTAAGTGGCACCCGGGTGGTGCAGTCGGGTAAGCATCTGACTCAGTTCTGGTTCAGGTCGTGATCTCACGGTTCATGAGATGGAGCCCCGTGTAGGGCTCTGTGCTGACAGTGCAGAGCCTGCTTGGGGTTCTCTCTCTTTCCTCTCTCTCTGCCCCTCCCTCACTCGTGCTCACTCTCTCTCTCTAAATATAAATAAATAAACATTTAAATAAAAATAAAATTTCTCACATAAGGAATGCAATAATAGGGGAAAAATCTAATTTTACGATCAAGGAATTTCATTTCCAGTTTGTAGTATGTTCAGGCTCAAAATATTTGTTAATGCTCTGAAATACCCAGGGAGAATGTGGAAGGAACATGAGCTTTGGACTCAGAGAAATGCTATTTTTCCACTTCATGGTATAGGACAGATGCTAGACTTGGATAAAATAACTTGGTTTCAAATATGAGTGCTGCTATTCTGCGACCTTGAGCAAATTATTGCTCATTTCCTCATCTGTGAAAGGGGGTAAGTTCCACTGCATAGGAATATGGTGAAAATGAACAGATATTTAAAAAGTCTGCTCAAGTGTATATAATTTCTAGCCCAAGCAGCAAAAACATGCATTCCATTCTGGATTCCCAAGGTGATACTTCAGAAAGGGGTTTCTTTTCTTTTTAATGTTTATTTATTTTTGAGAGAGATGGAGACACAATGCGAGTGGGTTAGGGGCAGAGAGAGAGGGAGACGCAGAATCCGAAGCAGGTTCCAGGCTCTGAGCTGTCAGCACAGAGCCCGACACAGGCCTCGAACTCACAAGCTGTGAGATCATGACCTGAGCTGAAGTTGGATGCTCAACCGCTCAACTGACTGAGCCACCCAGGCGCCCCGAGTTCTAACCTCTTAGAGAATAAAAAGCAAATAGCTGGGGCGCCTGGGTGGCGCAGTCGGTTGGGCGTCCGACTTCAGCCAGGTCACGATCTCGCGGTCTGTGAGTTCGAGCCCCGCGTCGGGCTCTGGGCTGATGGCTCAGAGCCTAGAGCCTGTTTCCGATTCTGTGTCTCCCTCTCTCTCTGCCCCTCCCCCGTTCATGCTCTGTCTCTCTCTGTCCCAAAAATAAATAAACGTTGAAAAAAAAAATTAAAAAAAAAAAAAGCAAATAGCAATTCAGTGTGCTTCATTCTGAGCAGGCAGAACTCAAAAAAGGAAAACAAAAGTATAGTTGTTGCCTACATGTCCACAAGACTTCAATGGCATGCTATGTTGGCCATACCGTAGTGTTGGCCAACATTTATTAACGAAATGTTTTAGGAATAAACAGAGCCTCTTATTCATCTTGCCAAGAGTCATGCGATGTGGCAGCACTGAGCCTTTAGTCTTGTATTGCATAACTGTCAGGTGGAGAGTGGTGACTGTCCCTCTGGAGGCAGCATACTCTTTCCTGTTAACTACAATCCCCGCCTTCTTTTCCCGCTTCAAGAACTCAAGGTAGAGTGGCAAGGTGCCTCTCTGTTGTGAGTGTGCAGCTATTTGACGTTTACTACAATAGGTATTTGAAGTATTTCCAATACTTTGTCCACTGTCTGTTCCATTCCTTCTTCGTTGCCTCTGGGTGTTTTACTTACTTATACTACTTGCCTGGCATCTCAAACTCACTTGAGTTTGAGACTCGTGATTTTGACTTTTCTACCATCACAGCCAGGAATTTTCTTCGTGGCTCTATATTGAGGATCACATCTCCTTTTCTCCCTTTTTCATCCAGGAAGGAGAGATGAATGTTGACACGGATTGCACATCCTCCAAGCCCTCAGTTAAGAACCACTGCATTGACGTGTGGGCATCACTTCCATTTAAGTTATCTTTTAAGTACCCAGTTAGTTAAGGTGACTGTGTCCACTTTACAGGTGAGATGATGGGAGTACAACAAGTTTAGATAACTGATCTTTGCTGCAATTAATTTAGAATCCAAGTGTGGGTCACCTGTCACATAAGGAGGAACACGGAGTCAGCTAAAATATGCAGGTCTCTTAGAAAGCCATTTAGCAATGGATGAACTGAACTCAGAAAGTGAATTCCTTTTTTCTCGGCGCCAAGATGACATCTACAACTTCTACCCTCCTTTTCCTCACAGAATGAGCTCTTCTTAAACTTTTCTCCACTGCATTTGTAAAGAAAACAGTACAGAATTAACTCTCAGGCTTCTGTACTGACAAACTCCTGCCCCATCCTGGGTTTCTTGAAAGTTGAGGAAGGCGAGGCCACTAATTCTGCCCTTCAGCACACATAAACTTTTCCACAGAATTTGCTAAACTGCCTGCCCAGCCCAAAGGCAGGGAAACTACAAACTGACAGCTCACAGAAGTCTGTTTATTCTTAACCAGAATTAAACACTATTAAAACTCAGAAAATGGCCAGGTTCATAGAAGCGGCCATCTTCTTTTATTGTTTGCAGAGAAAGTGCTTAGTGGGTTAAGCAGGGCAAATTTTAAGTTCTGGAAAAAAGCTGCTGGTCAAGTCTTCTCTAGAAAAGAGCAATCCCTTTGCACTTGACTGCCTTCTTTGTTTCCCTGACATGCACTCACAGGTACTTTCCTAGACTCATTTGTGACCTCACTGTTGGAATCAGGAAGCTTCAATGTAGTCTGGGTGGAGTCTGTTTGAGAAGTCAGGTGTGTGTGTGTATGTATGTGTGTGTCTGTGTGTTTTAGTTTATCCAGAGTGGAATCCGGAGAGTGGGCTGTGGATTTTAAACCTTGAAAAAAATTGGGGAAGACAGAAACAACAGAGAGTGGGCAGAAGAGAAGTAGAGAAAAGAAGAAACCATAGCTGAGGAGGGGAAAAAAGGAGAAAGGACAAAGCGAAAAACAATTTAAAAAAAAAAATTTTTTTTAACGTTTATTTATTTTTGAGACAGAGAGAGACAGAGCATGAATGGGGGAGGGACAGAGAGAGAGGGAGACACAGAATCAGAAGCAGGCTCCAGGCTCTGAGCCATCAGCCCAGAGCCCGATGCGGGGCTCGAACTCACGGACCGCGAGATTGTGACCTGAGCTGAAGTCGGACGCTTAACCGAC